TTCCTCGAGTCCGGGAGACACAGTAGGGACGAGCCTGGGTTCGGGGACTGGGGGACGCGGGACCGGCGGGCTCGGGCGGCGGCCTCAGAGGAGGAGCGGCCGTGGGAAGCAAACTGGGGAAGGGGAGTGATTACCGGAGACGGTGCGTGTGGAGAGCCCGTGACTCTTCCCCGTCGTCCAATGAGGGAACGGGCGGAAAGGCCCCCTTTTTCTTTCGAGTTTGTTTTATTCCTAATTGGTCGGCGAGGGCTGTCGCCGGCGAGGCTGTGGCCGGCCCGCACAACCTGCCGCGGGACCCGGCGTCCGAGGGGCCGCCGGGCTGCGCGCCTCCTGCCGACCTTCCCGCTGCGTGGGTCGGTCCTCTGAGCTGTCAGATGACTTCGAAAAAGAAACTGGTAGTGACGGCTCACTTGGTTGAGACGGAGATGCTCCCAAGCCAATGTTTGGCTACTATTTTGTAGGTTTTAAAACTAAACGAGTTTGAGATTAGTGTGTTACCTTGAAGAGAAGACTTTTACATTTTTGGGGGTGGCCTTAACCTTCCCTTGACTGATAGGGTGTGTGTATTTTCAGCGGGTAATGTAATTATGAAATCACTGCGGGCAGGCTTTTTGATTCATCCGGGTCCTTTCTGATTCAAGGTCTGTTTTGTTATCCTCTCAGTACAACGTTTGAGTGACCGCTGGGTTGGTTAATCGACACTGAAAGGGTATTTTGTTGTTCTTTTTTGATCTAGTCAGCGTTTATTATAGCGATCATTCTAAGGCCAATTTCATGATTAAAGATACAGGGAGAAACAAAAATGGACCTTAACCAATGCCGGCTTACTCTTATAACTTTTTCCATTGGTCAGTTAAAGTTTTGAAGGGTTGACCATTTTAAAAGGTGAATACTATATAAATTAACTAAAGTAACAGTTAACAGTTTATTTAAATTAATCAGAACAATAGTTAACAGTTTTTATTGAAGAGTCACTGGTTTCGCTCTGAGAAAGGAGAATGTGGCCTAGAAGGATTCAAAATACTAATTTTGAAATAGCATTCCACTCTTCTGTGATTTGCGTGTCTTGAGCAACTATCTTGTGGGTGTCAGGGTCTTCATTTTTTAACTGGAGACTTGCCACAGAAAATTAAAAGTATTTTTTTATTCTTAAAGCTGTGATACATGGTCAGAAGACCATATACCATGATCTATATTTAACTATAATCTGTTTTTTGTCAAAAGACGGGTCTCAAAGTGGAGTGTAAGAGGTCACCCAGCTGTCATGTGGAATTTTAGATCATGGGAAGAGAACTTTGAACGCAATCAGTGAGGAAAGTAAGGCCCTCAAGAATGGAGTGGTTCCAGTCCATGATCCCTTAACTATGCTTTTGAACTGTCAAGGGGGGAACGTGGTATATAATAAAGATATTAGCATTTAAAACAATTTTTAACAGGTACTATAGATCAGGTTTTAAAACAACCTGTAAGAAGCAGGTTTAATTTTAAGGGTGCTTGACTTAACAGTAACTTATTGACTTAGAGTAACTGCATGGCCCATACTTCTTTGGCTAAATGTTAACACAAAATTATTAAATTATAAACTTACTGACAATATAATTACTAGCAGTTAACACAACTTATAGTTGTAGTTCCTTGGTGGGTTTTTCATTCTTTGAGGACTTAACTTTTCTTGCCATTGATTCTAGTTTGGAATATAATTTAATTTTGAAAATGAATGAAGTTAATGGAGACTTGTATTATTAAAATCTCTATTAGAATGATGAAAGCATCTAGCTCTTTATCTTAAATATATCTCAGTGTATTCACCTATGGGTAATGTCAAATTGCTTAACAGTTCATGGATAAGTAAGTGAAATAAAACCTAAAGAAAATTTAAAAGAAACTGCATTAAAACTGGAATAAAGTATCTTGAAAGTTGAATAAACAGTGAAATAAAAGACATTATTTCTTGTATTTTTCCTATCCCCAAAATCATTTTTAATCCATGTAATAGAATAACACCAAATGTTATCATTATCCACGTTTCTTATAGTGGTACAACTTGTTTTGGAAACCTAGTCTAAATATTACACTCATACAATTGAGACATTTTAATTAATAAAGACCATATTTTTAGTTGTGTGCCTAGCAGAGTATGGTTGCTTTAAGATTATAGTGTAGTTTGTATCTTTAAGGATCTTCAAAGTTAATTTCAATTTAAAAGTATTTTTTCTTCATATTTGTAAGGTATATAGTTCTCTCTGAAGGAAAAAAAGTAACTGCACTTTCTATTTTAGTAATTGTCATGAAGTATTTGCTTCATTCATTATATGTATAGTAAACAAGAGTCTATAAACTCACCTAGCATTAAATGAATGTTTTCGTATAGCAAGATCTCAAGCCTATTACCTTTTATAAGCTAGTTGAGATACATTCTGTTGCCTTTATATTTTTCATTTTTTTAAGATCATATACATTTTTAGCTCAGGCCTAAATTTGAGTTTGAACTATAAGCTGGTTAAATGCCTATAATTTAAGTAGATGTATTTTCCCCAGCCTCTTCTGAAACAATCTCCCTGGAGCAACCATCAGAGCAGTGGCTGGGGCACTGGAAGTATGTCCTGGGGCGCAATGCATGGCAGAGATCATCGTAGAACTGGAAACATGGGAATTCCAGGAACTATGAATCAGATATCTCCATTGAAGAAACCGTTTTCTGGTAATGTCATAGCACCACCGAAATTTACTCGCTCTACTCCATCACTGACTCCAAAATCTTGGATTGAAGATAATGTGTTCAGAACAGACAACAATAGTAATACACTCTTACCCTTACAGGTAAGAATGGTATATAAATGGCCTTATTTCTAATGTTAATCTTTCAAAATAGGGAATTGGGTGGTGGTAGTAGTAGTAGTATAAAATTAGCAGATTAAAGGAGAGAAAGTTCTAATTTTTAAGCATGTGATTTAATTATCAAAGGATAAAATAGCTATATAGAGAAGACTGGGACTAAAAGAAAATCTCTAAACACATAATAGAAAGTAAGCTTTATAAAATATAGAAAACCCTGCTGCATTGCTTAAATACATAGTGAAGCTTTTAATTGGCAGCTCCATAAGAATGCCTCCATTCATTAATCTTTAATAGGTCACCAAAATGAGTTTCTCCTCTAATATAGCTAAACTAAAGTGTTCTGTAATTGCACATATATTTGACTATGATCAGCTGTATGTATATTCAGATAGTACAGCTGTGATTATGGCAAAATAATATTAGGGCTTTTCACATCAAATTAAAATTTGTCCACTAGTTCAGGGACTATTTTTTTCTGTATGTGGCCTAACAGTTGTGATGATAAGACTTTTTTCACGGCTTTTAATATTTTGTTGATATTAAAGTCCCCTTGTGACTATTTAAAATGAGACTTTTTCCCCTGAAACCATTAGAGGGTAGAACAAAGATATGCAATAGGGAAAACTTGGATTTTTTTTTTTCTTTTCATTCTTTCTCCCCCCCCCCTTTTTTTTTGTGGGTGGGTACGGGTAAGAGAACTGCTTATTTCTGATGAAAACTTCTATGCTATTGAAGGTGAGATCTAGTTTGCAGTTGCCAGCTTGGGGCTCAGATTCACTCCAAGATAGTTGGTGCACTGCAGCCGGAACATCCAGAATAGACCAGGTAGGCTGCACAGTGTGTATTTCTCAGGATTTTGGCTAGGAGTTTAGTATTTGTATTATGAGTAGGATTTATTATTTACTTTCCAATTATAGCTGTTTAAGCATATGTCAGAGAGTGTTAAAGCAATTTACTTTTAAAGGGTCACTTGACTTAACTATTTAATATAAGATGTTTTGTTTTTAAATTTAAAAGTAGTTCATAATCATTTTATATTTCCTAAACATAATAAATTTGTTTTTGGAAAAGAGAATCATATACCCAAGAGCACCTGACTTTAAACATCAGTCAAACTGAACATATTTTATCTCTTTTCAGAATCATTTGCAATTAGGTACAAAATCATATGTTTACTTAGCATTTAATTTTACATTTCATAAATGTCTTACAGAATTTTTAATAAACTTTTTTCATGATATCTACTGTATTTGCCTTGAGTTTTCTAAACCCTATGTTAGTTTAGTTTTTCACCTTTATAAAAAAACTTCACAGCATTTCTCTATTCTAAATTTTGATACTGCTATTATATACTGTCTTCTTCCAAATAATCAGCTTCCTATGGAAAAGCTCTGAGTCAAAAAGCTGAGAGTCAGTCTTAATCAAATTACCTTCAAGTCCTTTGTAGTCACAAAATGCTGTCTCTCTTCCTACAGATGAAATTTGAGTGCATACTGGGTCCCAGGTGATGAGAATTATTACAGGACAAACAGAACACTCAGTCCTCACATATAAGGATCCTTTCCTACAGAGCCCGAGTTTGAATGAGCATAGACTTGACTTTGTGAGAGTCCACTGAATGGAGTTATGTTATCCTTAGTTACTTTATCAACTTGAGATGATTTTACAAGTAAGGACTGAATAAATAGATTAATACTACATTTGTAAATAGCATTCAAATCTGGAGTGTTGGCAGTAACTTCAATAATCAAACATTAGCACTTGTTTTAAACAAGTACTACCTATTTGCCAGAATACTCCTGCCAGTATTTATCTCATGTAATTTGTAATTGATTGTCTTGTTAATGTTGTAATGTTATCCATCTATTTCTACTTTCTTCTCCACTCTGGCTCAGATAGGCTTTATTAGTGACATTTTTATGGTAGCATTTTTATGGTTTTCAAATTAAATACATAAATGCCTAGGAGATGGTATGTTTAGAAGAGGAAAATTATGATAATTATTTTGAAGGTGGCAAGGGACATGTGTTTAGATAGGAAAGGACATAATTATTTGAAGAGCTTGTGCAGGAAGAAGCAAGAGGATACATATATGAAAGGAATATGTATCTATGGAGGAAAAAGAAGACAGATGAGCTGCTGTGAAGGATCCAGGGGGATGGGGGACAGATGTTGAGAAATTAGGTCATTAAGAAGTCTTCAGTTGATAGAATAATGCTTGAGAGTAGGTAGAGGTGATAATGAAGGGAAATTTTCAAACTGGGCTCTGCGGAGTGCCCCCGGGGCTGCCACAGGATGAGGGCCATCAGCCCTCCCACTTAGACGTCATTCAAAGCCTCTCTGCTCTCACGAATTTTATAACCTGGGATTTTAAGTAAATTCATTTTAGAGAAAAAGGATTTTGATGCTTAAGGATTTTTTTTTTTTGGTAAACTGCTAAGATAATTGG